TGTGCAAATAAATGTTTGCAAGGCCTTTGGCTGCCATAGTGACGAGCTCCATGGCAACCCTGCAAGGAAATGAATAATTCCGTGCTCAAAGTGGAATAGTTCCCTGCTGGAAGTGGAAGATAAAAAGGGACCTGATGGCTGAGGGTGCTGCAAAATAGATGATCAGCAAATCACCCAGGTGCACCCATCAGAGGGGTGCTTGTGAGAGCCCTCAGTAATGGGGCAGAATTGGGAAGCAGGATGGATGCAGTGGGGCTGTGTCAGGGCCTCCAGATGAGCCTTTTGTCTCGGTATTCCCTGATTTCCATGTAGCCAGATTTATTGAAGGCATGTGCAGGTCGTGCATGGGCTGTACCTGTCTCTGCTGACACAGCTCTGTCTCCACCATGCCCTGTCTCCACCATGCCCTGAGCCCCTTAAGATGCTGCACCCCTGGGTTTGCCTCAAATATGGATTTGATTCCTCCTCTCCAGCTCTGGCTATGCTGGAAGCGTTCCCGAAAATGAAAGCCAGCTCTTTTCTGAGCTTTGAAGTGTGGAGTAGAACTGAACAGAGAAAAAAAAATCTATCCCATGGGGGATGGGTTTTTAGAAAAAAAAAACCAATCCTATTGAGTCAATGGCATTTGTATTAAAAACAAGCGAGTCCTTGGAGTCATTTCCATAGGAATCAGCCCTCCCATTCCGGGCAGGCTCCCTGCAGCTGAGTGGGGAGCAGTGTGAGAAGGGGGGGTTCTGGGGTCTGCTCACCCCAGGAAAGGGAAGCAGGGCAGGGCAGGCTGCCTTCTGTTGAATCAGTGATTCACAGCTGTGACTCACAGCCCCATCCTATAGTCATGGAAAACAGCCAGGTCTGGCCATCAGCTGTGTGCCTTTTCCACTGCGAGAAGTTATTTTTGGGTGTTTTTAGATTACAGCCCTTGTATTTTTTTTTTTCTGTGCCTCTGAATTCTGGATGATTGCACTGCAAGTAATTGAGGCACTTGAATTTCCTGCTTAGAGAAATTAACTCAATATCATTTTTTTGCAACTCTAAGGCATTTCTAAAATAGCTTTTCTGCGTGGCGTCATGGGGAGCAGGCACACAGCTTTGGGGCTCTTTGTGCTGAATTTGGGAGCACTGGGTGCAGGAAGGTTGCAGAAAAGGATGTGGGGGCTGTCAGCTTGAACATGAGTCACCAGTGCACCCTTGCTGTGATGGAGGCTGGCTGGGTTTACTGGTAAGGTTGTAGCCAACAGGTCAGGAGAAGAGATGGTTGCCCTCAGTTTGGCACTCACAGGTCCACACCTGGAGCACTGTGCCCAGTTTTGGGCATAGCTTTGGGCTCCCCACTGCAACAAAAACAGGGCCATGTGGGAGCCACCAAACTGATCTGAGGACTGGAGCCCAAGGCAGGGTGGGAGAGGCTGAGACAGCTCCTTCAGCTTGGAAGTGTGAGAGCTGGGAGCACTAGATCATCCTTAAGGTCCCTTACAACCCAAATCATTGTAGGATTCTATGATTCATGGCCCTCTCCATTGTGATTTTGTGATCCCACAGGACAGTAAGGGGATGTAGGGCTTTGTCTGTCCCCCTCACAGTGGGGTATTGACATAACACAGGGACTGGACAAGCTCATTACAGGAGTTCACAGCGGGTCTGAAATGCTGCCCATCCTCTGGAGGTGACCTGAGCTGGCTGGTGATGCACAGCCACCCCTCCCTGGGGCACACAGCTCTAACCCAAGAGCTCAGAACAACCTGAGCAAAATCCACGCATTTCTTGGTGCTGCTGCTCCCCCTGTGCTGTGCACTGGAGGGGTTGGGCCGTGTCCCTCAGCCCCTCCCAGGCTGCAGGGACCAACCACCACCCTTCATCCCTGCCTTTCCAACCCAGCCCTGCCCAAGTGTGGTGCTCAGTGGTGCCAGCTCTCCTGTCTGTGGCTGCATACAGCCCTGGGGCCAAGGTTATTGTGGTGGGGGAGTGAGGACCAGCTGGTGAGGGAGCTTAGTGAGGTCTGGGGTCCTGGTGCAGGGGAATGCCCTGAGCACAGAGTGAGCCTTTCCCTCAGTGCATTCCCACTGTCGTAGGGCACAGAGCATGGGTTTGACAGGAGGCAGGAGGAACTTCTGTACAGGGGAGCCTGTTGCCTGAAGGAGGGGTGGGAGAGAAGTCTTTTGGGAGGTGGAAAATGTGATGCCACATCAAAGAGAGAGTTGAACCTGGGCCTCTAATTTCAGAACAGAGTTCAAACCATCAGAATGTTACAGTCACAAAGTTCCCAAAATATATTTGGCGCTTCCTTTTGCTTTCTCTTCCCCCATCCCTGGGTGCCACCGTCATACTGGAGAAGCCCCCAGAAGCCAGGACCAGCACCTAGGAGGCTCAGGGTTGTTTCTAGACAGCTTTCCTGCAGCCCTGAAAAGCCTGGGAACCTCAGCTTCCAGCGGGGGGGTGGGGCAGGAGCTGCTGGGGTTAACTTGTGGCTGAATGAGTTGTGGTTTTCCATGGAGTGTGGGTTCCTAAGTCCTTTATTGGATCTAGCCCGGGGCTCTATTCCCAGCCCTGTTTGTGACATTAACAGGTCACTGCAGCCCCAGGGCTGTCCCTACCTTGTCCTCACTGCCTGCATGGCACTGGCAGGACACTGAGGGCAGGGCAGAGGGACCCACAGACTCGGTACCACCGTCACACAGGCGCTGGAATCAATCTGGGAGGCAGGCACGCCTTGCTTGTGGCCTCCTTGAAGCTGTGCCACCACACACAGCGCTCAGGAGGGATATAAATAGTGCTCAGGACGCCCTGGGATGCGGCAGACAGCAGGTATTTCAGGAGTGATGCTGCTGGCAGGGTCGTGCCGGGGCAGCTTCTGCTACATTAGTGGTTATTTGCATCCTCTGACGATGGACGGGTGTGAGCACAGCGGCTGGGGATGGATCAGCCAGGGGGTACAGAAGGTGTTGTGTGGTCCTGGCACAGGTCCTGCATGTCTTTGGACAAGTTGCTGAAGACCAGATTTTCCACAGAGTATCTGTGACACCCCCCCCCCCCCCCCATCCTTACAGTCGGATACTGTGTTTCAAAGGGGGTTTGAACATATATTTTAGAATCCCAGAATGGTTTGGGTTGGAAGGGACCTTAATGATCATCTCTTCCAACCCCCTGCCATGGGCAGGGACATCTTCCACTAGCCCAGCTTACTACAAGCCCCATCCAACGCGGCCTTGGACACTTCCAGGGATGGGGCAGCCACAGCTTCTCTGTGAAATCTGTGCCAGGGCCTCACCACCCTCACAGGGGAGAATTTCACAGGGGCAGGAAAAGCTTGTGTGCATTCAAGGCTTCTCTCCTTGCGGAGCTTTGATGCAGCTGGGCATGGAGCTACCCACGCTGCAAGGTCACTGGGGCAGACACAACCTCCAAGGATGTGCCTGTGGGTCCATCCCAGTTCCAAAATGTCCATATTGAGCCTGTTCTGTGTGTGAGGGCTGCAGCAGGCACAGGCAGCGGGGGCACTCGGGCAGTGGGATGCTCAGCATGGCAGTGAGGAGCCCATCTGCTGCCCAGCACATGGCACTGAGTTGGCACCAACACTGCCCGTGTTGGCATTTGCAACATGTGGGGTGCTGAGCACTCAGGCAGGAGATCCCAGAGCTGGGGGTGTCAGCTTCTTGAGCATGTCTGAGCAGGAATTGAGGGTCTGAGTAGGGTTTTGGGGTCTGAGTAGGGTTTTGGGGTCTGAGCAGGGTTTTGTGGTCTGAGCAGGGCATTGGGTCTGAGCAGTGCTTCAGGGTCTGGCAGCTCCTGGGCGTAAGGGCTGAGACCACAGTAGTGGAGGAGGCCACTTCCATGCCCTGTAGCCTGGTGGTTTGAACACTTTCCTGGGAAATGGGCTTTCCAGTGCCCCCCATCACACTTCAGGAGAGCTCCCAGCTGCAAGAGCACAGCAGCCCTCATTCCAAGGGAGCCAGCACACAGCCAAGGGGCAAATCTTGGCATCCCAGTGGGTGGCAAGAGCTGTGGGTGGACAGAGCACTGAGCTGGGAGAGGAGGGAGAGGTGCTCTGAGTGATGAGGTCAGTCAGGGACAGAGCAGAGGGGGACCCAGGAAGCTGGTGAGATGTTTAGGAAGTGTGGAGGCTCCAGAGGGGCTCTGTGAGCACAGCCCTGACCAGTGGGCAGTGGCTGAGCACAGCTGACACCTGGCAAACATGAAAGCAGGGCTTGTTAGACTGCACACAGACTGCTGATTGTAACCTCAGTCACAAAACCTCCTCAGCCAAAGCCTGACAGCATCCCCTGAGTTTTCCCAGGCAGATCTGTGATGCTCATCAGCCAGTCCCAGGGAAACAAGGCAGGTGCCCACTTCCCTTCTCTCCTCTCCCTGTTGCTCCAGCCTCCCCAGCACTGTTTGGTGCCAGCTCTGCAGAGCTGGCAGCTGATCTTGGGCTCTGTTCATCTCCATGATGATCCCAAAGCTCACCATGCCATGGGGTTTTCTCACCCTGTGTCTTACAAACGAAGCTGCAGAATGGAGCTGCAGCCTGAAAGGTGCATCCACTCACAGAGCCTGCAAGAGGAACAGAGGATCTGGTCGTACAAGGGTGCATACACCTCTAGGGATTTAGGACAGCAATTTTTATGATATTACAGTATATTTTTGGGAAGGGATTACATAATATCCCTTGGCAGGGGTGTAAGAACTAGATGATCTTGTAGTTCACTTCCAACCCAGCCCGTTCTGTGATTCTCTGATTCTGTGTTGGTGGGATTTTGAGGTGAGGAGGTGCTGGCTGTAGCCTCTGAAGTCAGCAGAAGTTAGGTGGGTGTTGCTGGAAGCATCACTGAGTCCCCAAGAGCTTTTTGTGGTTATTCTTCAAAAGCCCAGTGAGGGATGGACACCTCTGAAAGGCTCTTGACTCCTGAGTTTTATTTAATAGAAGGGTTTGAAGCATGCAGTGGACAAACCCGCTCCTCCAGACTGAACTGCAGTAACTTGCTGTTTGTTTTCTTTTCCCAAAGCTCCCAGAATGGAGAGGAAGCTGGAGCCTGGCCCAACAACCAGTTTGACACGGAGATGCTCCAAGCCATGATCCTGGCTTCAGCAAACGGTTGGTGTCCATCACGTGTGGGAAAACCACGACACTGCTCTTGCAGGGGCATCTTGGGTTCATGCTGTCAGATAAGATGCTGGGGGAATGGTTTGTCTGGCTTCAAGAGTCCTTCTTCAACAGATCCCAAAGCTGGTGGGAGAGCACTGCAGAGGAGGGGGTCAGGAAGGATTCAGGCAGATTGCTGTAGACAGGGACAAACTTCCACTCAAACTTTATTTCCCATGTAGTGGACAGAACGTCACCTGGCTCGTGATGTGGTTGTGTTACATGAGAGAGCCAGTCTTGAGGTGATCTTTTATAAACTGCCTGGTTCCAGAAGGTCACACTAAATGAAACTGCTGTGTTGCAACTTGCTGTGAGATGAGGAGGTAGAAAGGCTGGATGTTCTGCATGTGGCAGGGCCAGGGAAACAGTAAATGCCTGACTCGGTATTCCCAACAAACCTTGTGTCCAGAGGAGCTCCCCGGGTTCCTCTGCTGAACCATGAACTCACAGAGGTTTTCCCCACTGGCTGCTGCTGCCTCTTTGCAGTTGTAGACACAGGGGGGTGGTTTGGGGTCATTTTGGGTCGGTTTGTTCTGGTTTATGGTTGTGTGGAAGTGGTGGGCAGGGAGGGTGTTCCCACACACCCACAGTCTCCATGGCTTTGAATAAAACAAGTACAATTATCACTCCGTGCAGCACCACAGATAAAGAGGCTGGTTTTCATACAGCCTTTATTTATGAATACCTCCAAATCTTTCTCCCCTTGATTTAAAAATAGAAGCAACAGCACAGCCATAAAACCCCGTGCAAAATGCTTAGGATGTTTCCTTTGAGCTGTTGGGAGGGAAGGAATCTGAGGGATGGCTTTGGAGTTGCTTTCTTGGAAAGCTGCTGCAGCTGAACTTTGCTGCTCCTCAGACACCAGGCAGCCTGAAGACAGCTGCCCTGGCTGGGGAAGGGGACAAAGGTCTGAGGCAAGGGAGTTGTTTACACTCAAGGGAAAGAAACAATGTGAAAATGTGTCTTTGCTCTGAAAAGAAGACCATGGAAAAACAGCCTTTGGGGGTTGCACGTGGTTATCATCACCCAGGGCTCCAGATCCGGTTTCCTTGCTGGCAGATAAAGCTGTGTTTTTCTGACTGCTGCTCCAGCAGTCCCCAGGATCAGAGCTGAGAGGGTCCCTTCCAAGTTAAGCACTGACTTCTACGGAGCCCCCGGAGCCCCATTTCAGCAAATCTCCCCCAGTCCAGGAGTCTCAAACAGCCCTGACCGAGTCTCAAACAGCCCTGACCTCTCCCACGGCTTCAGCCATCCCAGGGGGTTGATGTCAATCAGATCCATCCTCTAGATAATGGCTTTTCGTTATCCATGCTTTTCTTGCCCTTGCTCGTTCCTTTCTGTGCTGGATGGATGGATGGGGACACAGCACAAGTTCTTTCCATTAGCACAGTGTTTTCCTGTCAGCCCTGCTCTCTGTCCCCTCTTTCTGCTCTCTCTTTAAGCCAATGGTGTTGATTGGAGCAGGCTTTGATTAGGGGCAGTGCTAATTGCCCATTAAGCTTTGTGCTGCCCATCCTTGGCTGATGTTTCCTGGCTATTTAAATGATCCTTATCTCTTACTGTCACCCACTGAGCTCTCTGTTAGAGCTCCGTGGCAGGTGGGACACAGTGACACAAGTGATGCCCTGGATGCATCCATACCCTGTGCCAGGTGTTATCCTTCACTTCAGCAAGAGGCAGAGCTGGCCCTGCCATACCAAGCCTGTGTGATCCACCTGCTCCAAGGATTAAATAGTTAAATCACCCTCCCAAGTCAGAGTACCTGGGGAGCTGATTTCCCCCCAGGGCTGTGACCTTCCTGTAGGGCTTCTGTCTCCCTTCCTGGGCATCCTTCCTTTGAATTTTCCTCCCTTGCAGCTGGGATTGACATGAAAAGCCAGTGTTTTTAGCAATCTGAATGGCCAGAAGCAGCTGCTAAGACATGCCAAGGAGCACAGATGCTCCAGGACACCAGACACTAAAGGGCAGACATCCTGTCCTTAAAATACTCTGGCTTCCAGTGGGAATTTATGGAGGTGCCATGAGATGGTGGCAGAGCAGATGGAAAGGCAGCCCGAGGAGATCCTTCTCCCCCTCAGGCAGGGCAGACACACTAAATTGGGGTCTCCTGAGAGCCCCACCAGCAGCTGCAGCAGCACGTGCTCCAGGGCTGCCTCTGGGGGATGGAACCCTGAGCTGGTTATTTTTGCTGAAGCCCAAATTCTTGTTTTCCTCCTCAGGGCCATTTGGGACAATCTCTGGCTGCTGGTAAAGGCTGAGCATGACCTTTCCAGCAACGAGAGCTGAAGTGCCTTGCTTGGCAAGAGCACCTCGGTGCCCATTTATAACCCTCTATTGTTCCTGTTCTCTCTTCTTTTCAGCCTTAATGTCAGTGTTACCTAGAAACAGCCCTTCGCCCTTACCCGGGACCCACGGGCAGGCTGGGAACTTCACCAATGGCTTTTTCTGCCTGGTGAAAGCTGTGCTGAGACTGCAAATTAATTCATGAGGACTTGAATGGTGCTGGCAGCCCCCAGCCCCTCCCTGCTCAGAGCCCTGGTCATCTGGGATGGCCCAGGGGGGACACAGGGCAGCAACACCCGGGGAAGAGAAAGTTTCCAAGTCCACCAAGCCTCTAACTGGGCTGTTTCCAGCTGGGACAGTCCAGAAAAAGAAATCTTCCTCATGGCTGGAGTCTGTAGTCCACCTGTGAGATAATCCCTGCACATCTCAGTCATCTCGTCCCATGGGGATCATTTGTAACACCCTGATGGGTGTGGGTTGAGCTGGTTGTTAATGAAATAAACTCCCACTTATAGACATGCATCTCCCCAGCCCAAGGTCTTCAAAGCTTGCTGGGTCTGGAACCCATTTAATGGGGACTCTGGAAAAATCCTCCTGCAGTGAATTCTTTCCCAGGGGAAAGGGAAATGACATTTCTCCACACTGGGTCCCTGTGTTTGTGCACCACGTCCCCCCACCCCAGTGCACAACATTGTGCCTGTTTTTGGCCTCGCTGTGTTTTTCCCTCCTCCTGCTCCAGCAGAGCAGCTGTAACTTTTCAAACTGCAGTTGCTTCATACTTCTGACCCCTGCTAGGGAATGTGTACACAGCCATGTTTCAGGGGGCTGGTGGGATGTGGTCCAGCTTTTTGTCCAGCTTTCTACTTGGCTTAGTCACCCCCATCTGCTTAGGGAAAAGCAAAAGCAACACAGAGACGTGCACAGAGCTGGTCTGGAGTGAGGAGAAACACGAGGGGACCAGCCCACCATCTCTGCTTGTTGTTTTTCTTTATTCCTGCAGTCTCCCTGCCTGTTAAAGGGGGGAGCAGCACCCCTGGGCTCTGCCTTGGGCTCTTTGGGTGGCCTTGCTGGGTCTCTCCAGCCTCCCAGGAGAGTCTGTCCTTAGCCATGAGCATGAGGCACTTAAAGGCTGAGATGGGAACTTCTGATACAGAGACTGGGCAGGGCTGTGCAAGGATCCCACCCTGAGCCATGCACAGGCAGCTGCACCGGAGCAGATCATGCAGCAGCTCATGGCAACAGCATCACTTGAGCCTTTACCATCCCCCCGTGCTCGTTTCTCCCCCTGCCTCCACGCATCCCCCACCTCCATCTGGTCTCCACCATCCAGCAGAGCCCCGGCATCCCGGGGGGTCCCTGAGCCCCTCCCCGCTCCTGCTTTCCCTCTCTCCGTGCTGGAGCTTTGCATAGCGACAGGAATGAACCTGTGCCTTCCCCTCCCCCTGCCCCCAGACCTGGACCATCAGCCGCTCTCTGGCATGGATCTCCTTCGTGCTCGGCTTCCTTAGAGCCATTTGGCGGTATTGCAGGGGGGAGATTTCCTTTCTCCTCTCCCGCGCCCTGCTCCCTGAATAAACCTGGCTGGAGAAACACCGGGGGCAGGGCTTTAAATGCGGCGGAAAAATAAATAAATATCGGATTTCTCTTAATGCATTACCGCTGATTGTGGCTGCACAATATGTCTGGGCACTTTCGTGGGGGGCGGGAGGGTGTCTGTGCCGCACTCCCCAGCACGCACGGTGCGATGGGTGGTGGCACCCAGGTGTGGGTTTGGCAGTTCGATGCCCCCGGGGGTTGGGGGGGGGCTGCCGAGGCTCGGGGTGGGCTTCGGCCGGCTTTAACAACGTGCCCTTCTCTTTGCCCCCTCCCTCTGGCGTTCCCCACAGAAGCTGCTGATGGCAACTCGACCCTGGGCGGCGGGAATGGCACGATGGGGCTGAGCGCCCGCTACGGCCCCCAGTTCACCCTGCAGCACGTCCCCGACTACCGGCAGAACGTTTACATCCCGGGCAGCAACGCCACCCTCACCAACGCCGCCGGCAAGCGCGACGCCAAGAACGCCGCCCCCGCCGCGGGCAACAAGAAGAAATCCGGGAAGAAGGAGAAGAAGTAGAGAAGAAGAAGGAGACCTTAGAGCTACAGGGCAGCCGGCTCCAGCACTCCCCCCTAAAAAAAAAAAAATTCACACCCCAGATGGGGGGACGAATGTGAATTTTTTTTTTTTTTTTTTTTTTTTTTTTTTTTTTTTGTGATGCAAAAGTAGGAAATGCTACGAATGTATCTCGTCATCATCAGGTCTGGGAGCAGGGACTCGCTGCTCTTAGACCTCGTGATGGAAACCAATCTGGAAGCTCAACCGAACACAAACAAGTGCCCTGTGAATAATGTTTTATACGATCCCTTGGGTATTAGAATATGCAAGGGCGGAAGGTCTTTTGCCACGTCTTTGGATCCGATTTGCTCCCAGGTAGTCCGAGGCTTTGTGCTCGGCTTTGCCCAATGTAAATAATTTTAATGTGGATCTTTTAATTTATATAGCCCTTCAACTTTTTTTTTTTTTTTGTGGAATGGAAAAGAAAGTTCTTAGCTTAGAGCCCACGCTCCAGTTCTTCGCTCTTAAATTTTCCATTCATAAAATTCATCCCCCTCCCGCCCCAGATAATGATAGTGATGGATTTTGGAATTTGGAAGTTGGTAGGGAGTGCTTCAGTTCCTGCTTACCTGTCACCCAGAAAAAAAAAAAAAAAAGTGTTTATATTGCATGAATCAAGGGAATATGGCAAAGCTGCATCCTAAACATTTTTTTTGTTTGTTTGGGTTTTTTTTTTTAAAGTGTAACCACTAATGGCCTGAAATATGAGAAAGTAAAAAGCCCTCCCGATGTCTGAGAGGCAGGGAATTCGATAAGGAGCGTTGCCGAGGTGTGCGGCAGCTGCCCCGGCAGTTCTTAGGGGTCTCCGAAGAGCAGACACATCTCAAACCTTCTTTGCAGTAAATATTTATATGTACAGTCGATGTTCTTATGGAATTAAGGCTAAGAGAGCCTCGCTCCCCTGCGGCCAGGCGGGTGCCCGGCCGGGTCCCCCGCCCGAGGGGACACACGGGGACGACGCTTCACGTCTCTGCACAGTGTCTGCATGCCCGTCCCTCACCTCACACCTGCACTAGCGCAGTAGCTCCACACGGACCCGGAGAAGTCCTCGCATGCCCACGCAGCGTGGTGTGAACGCGCCGGCAGCCGCCCGAACCCCCGTGCCGGGGCTGCCTCGGGGGGGAAGGGGTGGGAAGGGGTGGGGTGGGACAGGCGGGGTGGGGAAACTCCTTGCTTCTTATTTGGGGCCCCCAAAGGTAATTTGGGGTGATAAGGCAGTTTTTTATAAGGCGGTCATTTTGTGGGGGGTCTCGCCCGAAGGGGTGGGATCCGCAGAGCTGCCCGTGCATGGCTTTGGTGCAGAGTTGGTGATTGAGTAAGTGATGGTTGTTTTGGTGGCGCTTGGGGACCAGATTCAGAGAAGGGACCCAAAAGCAGGGGGTGATGCTGCAAAACCAGGGGCAATAACTGTGGGAGTGTCGAATGGGACCGTGTAGGGCCAGCCTGGAAGAAGTGATGCTCCCGCTGGCTTTGGGCTTTCCACCCCACAGAGAGAATCAAAGGATGAGGGATAGAGTTTCTCCATATGCCCATCATCCTTGCACCAGGCCAGCTTCCCATAGCAAAGCAGCTCTGAGCCCTCCAGGGAGGCAGAGGGGGGCTTTGTGTAGCCAGAGTGAGAAGAGAGGCTATGGGGTGGCCAGGAAGGGGCTGCACCGAGTTTCCCAGGGGGTGTGTGTTGTTTTTTTCCTTTTTTAATCACTAACACGTAACTCACCCGAGCAGATCCAGCCCTCTCAGCCAGGCTCACCCTACCCCAGCCCCCTCCCCAAACCCAGGGCAGCAGGAGCATCCTCCGTGTCTCATCCGGATCCAGCCACCTCCAGCTCTGGCTGCACTGGGAGCGGTTCCCACCCTGTCCCCTGCAGCTGCCACCTGCCCCCCCTTCCCTCTAGAAATGCTGTAGCTGAATCGTAGTCTTTATATTTTCTTTTTAATCTGCAATCTGAGGTAGCGTAGTGAGTGTTGTGCATTTAGTGGCGTGTTATTTTTAATTGCAGTAACTAACTTGTGGACATCAGTATTTTCAATTTTCTCTGTATCTTCTTTCCATGTGGTCTGTGCTCCGAGTGTACGTGAAATGAAAACACGTTTGCCCTTTCAATGTGTCTAATATTGAATTATACTTATATATTATATATATGCTTATATCCTTCTTATACCCATATAGACCAATGTCGATGTGTTACACGCAAGTTTTATACTCTAATATTTATATTGCTTTTTTTCTTTGGGAAAAAAAAATAATAAAATGGTTTCTTCTGAATGGATGGTGTTTATTCCAATGGAAGGAGGGAGACATGGATGGGGCCTGTCCATCCCATTTCTGCTGCTTCTGGTGGGGGTGGGAGGGATCAGCCCAGCCTGGCTCCAGCAGTGGGGATGGTCTTGGGGCACCCCAAATCTTATGTCCCCTAGGGCTGCTTTTGGGGCACCTCCATCCTCTGGTCCTTCAGGCCTTTGAGTGGAGGGTGACATGGCTGTGGGTCATGACTGAGGAGATGGTGGTGTCCACAGCTACAGCCCCTTCCCCACACCCAAGGGGATCCAATTGCTCCTCTCCATCACTGGCAGGGATCTGCCACCACTGGTCACCATTTGCCAGCCCCAAGGGGGTACAGAGGCCCCTCTCCATCACTGACAGGGATCTGGTCACCGTTCACCAGTCCTGGGGGGATCCAATCATACTTCTCCAGACCCAGTTGGGATCCATCCCGTCACCTTCCCCATCACCAGCAGAGATCCACTCTCCCTTCCCCAAGCCCGAGATGATTCCCTGTTCGTGGAGCCCGGGCTCCCCTCTCTGTGCTTGGGGAGGGTGGATGGGAGGAGGGGTCAGGAGTTGTGACCAGAGCTCCCCGGCCAAGAAGATCCCCCCACCCTCTCCCTGTGGGGGGTCCAACACACACTGAAGAAAAACATCCCGTGGCTCAGGGTGTCGTAACTGTGGAGGGAAAAATAAGCTGCTGCTGGCCAGATGAGAGGGGGAGGGTGGAGGAGGCGGGGGCAGAGCAGCCCCGAGAGACAGACAGACTGAGCCGGGGATGGGGGCGGGAGGCGGCTGGGGCTGGTCCCTGCTGTCAGCAGAGCACAGGAGGCTCCAGCTGAGCAGAGAACAGCTCCCCCTTCCTGTACTTCCATCCCTCCCTACCCATGTCTCCATCCAGGTGCAGCTCTGTGGCCTCCACCCGCTGCCCCCCAGCAGTCCCCGAGTCTGCCCTCATGCACAGAGAGCATCCCCTGAACCTCCCTTGCTGACTGACGGACATTCCCCAAATCCCCCTGCACCTCACAGAGACTCCACTCCCCCCATCCTGCTGCACTTCCACGGAGACCCCTGGAAATCCCCGTGCACCTCTCAGATGGACACCCCCCTCCCCAGATTCCCTTGCACCCCTCGGACCCAGCCCTCCTCTCCTCCCCGTGCACATGGGGACAGTTCTGGTCACACACACGTGTGTGCACCCCCGTGGGAGGGTTCCAACCAGAGCATCCTTCTTTGGGGCAGGTGGTCCCAGACCACAGGGGAGGCCACGGGGTCAGGGTGGTGACAGGTGGTGACAGGTAGGGACCCACCTGGTGCTGTGGGGCCCCTGTGACATCGTGCCCTCTGCCCCCAGCCCAGGAGCTGCTGCCCCTTCCACACAGGATCACCTGGAGCACAGTAGGGGCAGCTCCAGGAGGGTGATGGAGGGGAACAACCACAGCGACCCACAGCTGATGGGGAGCAGGGCTGAGCACTTCCATGTGCCACCTGCGGGCTGTCCCCACTACCTGCCCGTCCCAGGGCACTGGGCATCACTGCCCTCTTTGCTGGTGATGCCACTGGGCACCTAGAGCCCGGTGGTGGGGGCTGTGGGTAGGGGAGGAGAGGATGGTCACCACTGGTGGGGAACAGAGGCTTTGCAGAGCTGTGGTTTGAGGAGTCGCAGCCTCCCCATTGCCCTGAGCCCCACGGTGTCCCCGTGTCCCCAGCTGCGGGTGTTGGTGGAAGGATGTGTGCAGAGCAGCCACGTTAAATTTCATTTCATTTCTCTCTCGCACTAAAATCACCCAAGGGCAGTGCGAGAGGCAGGAAGGGAAAGGGCAGTGCGAGAGGCAGGAAGGGAAAGGCACAGCCACAGACCTGGCCAATTAGCGCTGATGAAGGAAACCCGGTCAGCCGTGCTAATTAACAGGGACACGCGGCAGCAGGAGCACGCTCGTTCCAGCCCAGCGAGCAGAGGAGTTGCCGAGCTGAGGTGCTGAGACAAGGGAGGCCAGCAGAAACACAGCCCCAATCACAGCCCTGATGAAAAGGATGCAAATAGGGTGGCAAAACGGAGCCTCCGGCAGCCGCTCGGGCTGAGACACCATCAGGGGATTAGAGGAATCGCTCCCGAGCCTTGGAAAGGAGGGGACGGTCATGGATGGGGGATAGGAGTGAGTGGGAAGTGTGTGTGTGGGGTCTTTCACCTCCAGCCATTGGAAGGACTGAGGGACTGTCTTAACTGGTGTGGGGCCATGGGTTCCAGCCCCTGGTGTGGGGTGTGAGGGGCTGTATCCCCCCCAAACCAGGTGTGCCTGGTGTATGTATGTGTGTGTGGGTGTGTGGGTGTGTTCACCAGCAAACTCTGAGGTGACCCAGTCACCAAGCAGAGGGGGACCTTGTGTCTGGGCCAGGGTATCCATCCTGGAATATTCTGAACATCCCTTAACAGCCAGAAGGGGCTTGTGTCCTCCATCTCATTGCCCTCCTGCTTCTCCCCCTCCTCCATCTCCTTCTTTCCCCCACACTGGGATCAGCTCAGCACCTTTTCTCCCCCTCCCTGCTGTCCCTTGTCACCCTCCCAGGTGACAACCATGGCATGGGACCAAGGGAACCCCAGACTGCCCCACAGGCAGCAGAGCTGGAAGCTCTTGCTGGTCCAGGAACAGGTCCCACAGTGGTGGAGATGCCCCTTGTCCTTCCACTCAGGATTGTCCCCAGCTCACCTCCTGCTCCTGGCAGGGCTGGAGCATCCAGATGCCAAAGACAGTGATGGCCCCATGTCACCAGCTTGTAGGGCCCTTGTTCACAGCAGTCACTTTTTGGGACCAATTGACCTTGAAAATCAAACCAAAACAACAACAGGAAAAAAAGGAATTGAGTCAACCCACTTTCCCATTGGATCTGTGAGCTGAACTGAGCTGACCTGTCACTTGGCCACATCCTGCAGCAGGCTGTGGTCACGGGCTGAGTCCCATCAGGCAGCTCCTCCAGCCATGACTTCACCCAGCAAAGCACAAAGCGGGGAAAATCACCAAAAAAGCTGAATTTTCATGTAGGTCTCTCTCACCCCTTCCTTTGGGGTCCCCAAAGGCAGCCAGGAGGTTGTCCTGGGTTCAACACAGACACTGGGAGTTGGAGCCTGCCCCGAGCAGAATAAAATCCTGGGAGCCAGTGACAGTGGGGGGCTTCTCCTCCTATAAAGACCTCAGAAGGGAGGGCAGCAGATGCAGTCAGAAAGAAATTGGAAATCTCAGTACTTGGGATACAAAAGGTCCTAAAGGGACTCACTGGGGCAGCGGGTGCAAAAAGCCAGGCAAGGAGAGTGGGTGTCTGTAGCAGGGATGTTTGTGGGAAAGTTCCCACAGCCCCTCTGCTCTGCTCTCCTCCAGCCCCTCCATCACATCCCCTGGGATTTTATTCTCCCCTGACGCAGCTGGCTCCTCTCGCACCTCACATTCCTGGGTGAGAGAGAGAGGTGTCTCACCATGCTCCACATCCCTTCCTGCTCGATAAATCCACTTCCTGACGCTTTGATTTATTATTATTTATAATCATAATAAAGCTTGTGCGTAGACGGAATAAAATTTGCCTTTTGCTGACTGAAACCTCGTGACCGCGGTGAAGGAGAGGGCGGAGGGCGGGCACTGCCTGCCCTTGGCCGGCTCCGTCCCGACCCGGGAGCTGCCAAGACCTCATCCATCACGTGGAGGAGCAGGACCAGCCCTCAGCGCTCTCCAGGCTGTGGGAGACCGGACAAAAGAGAATGTGGTGGGATTTTGCCCTTTTGCAGCCCGTGTGACCTCGCAGTGGCCTCTGCTGTGCGGCGGCAGGAGCTGCTGGGAGAACACTCTGTCTGTCTGTCTGTCTGTCTGTCCTTCCCGCAGGGCACAGCCCTCCTCCCAGCCGTGCTGGTGGCAGGGTGCCGGAGGAGATCAGTGCCGGGGAGCCAGCCAGGACCTGAAGTCATGGAGCTGGGAGAGGGCAGGGAAGGAGAGCGATGCCAGGAGGGGTGAAGTCAAAGCAGGCAGACACTCCACAGGCAGTGCTGTTGGGACACGGTGCGGCTGGAGGGGCTCAGCTCCAAGGGGACACTGCTGTGTGTCCACCCTGGTGCCCTCCTGCCCTTCTGGAACTTTTTGTGGCCCCTGTGGTGCTGTGGGTGGGACTTGCCACGGTCACTGTCACCGAGATGCTGGTGGCAGAGCCAGCCCATGGCTTGGTCTCTGTGTCTGACACTGCCTCTGTCCCCCAGAACCCAGTGCTGGCCTCCCCAAACCCATCCCTGGGGAGTCCCTGGAAGCACAGAGCCAGGTAAGGATAATTCCAAAAAAGGGTGCCCTCAGCCCTCATTAGTCCCAGGGAGCTGGGGCAGAGGCAGAGCTCAGGAAAAACCCCAGCCAAAAAAGAAAAAAAAAAAAAAAAAAAGCCAAGAAAAGCCACTCGTGGCCAAAATGTTCCCCGGGCAGTGCTCAGGTGCTGCCCGTGCCCAGCTCTGCCTGGCTGGTCCTTGTCCCTTTGGCACGTGCCAAAAGTGGCCATGCCCAGTTTGGGGAGGGGATTTTGGACCCTCTCTCCCTGTGAACACTATCCAGAGCTTTGCCAGAGCATCTGGAAGAAGGAAAGGGAGTAGAATCGCCGTGTTGGGGCATGTTTCCCCTCGTAGGAGACAGGAGTGTGGATGTCACGGTGCCCATCCCGCTGGCCAAGGTTTGGAAATCGCAGGGGAGCAGAGACACAGCCGGGGAACTCCCCTCCTCTCCCACACCGTTCATGACACATCAGGATTTGATTCGGGGTTCGAGGGGAGCCCTCCCCGGTGAACCCCAAGTGACACAGCCCAGAAAGGCAGCCAGTGAAGCCGAGTGGTGCCAGAGGGCGAGGACAGCCCTGTGACACCGGAGGGCTTTGGGGAGCAGTGCCCACCACTCCCTCCAGTGGCAGCTGCACGACCGGTCCCCGGGATGTGGGTGGGTGCCACGTCGGGGGGTGGGGACCCTGCCACCCTCCCCATCACCTCCAGAGCAGGGCACAGCCAGGGGGGTCCCTGCGAGCTGCAAGGGCAACGTGGGGGCTTGGACCCCCCCAGAGATGAATGAGAAGGAGGGTCTTTGCTCTGCAGAGAGAGACGGGACGGGTGCCAGGGAGGGAGAGCGGCCAGATGGGGGGAGAGGAGAGGAAGAGGCAGACAAGGCTCCTTTGTGCAGGGCAGCATCCGTAGGGGGGAAAGAGGGGGAATGGGGAAGGGGCTCATGGGTGCCAGGTAGGGAGGAGGTCGGGCTGTCTCGCTCCGACCCCGTGGTCCCCACAGAGGGGTGCATGAAATAGCCCACTGGAGTGCAGGAAGAAAATGGTTTTTGTACCGCTAAAACCTTCAAAAATACTTTAAAAATGCTGGTTTTTTTCCCGTGTCTACCCCTTCCTTTTATAATTTGTGTTTTAGTTTGTGCTCTGCAATGTGCTCCTTAGCCCAGCAGTGCGTGTAGGGAATTTATAAATCAATAAATACACTGGGGAGGGTGGAATAACAAAATGTGGAGCCCAGAGCTCCACACGGTGGTTGGTGGGTGCTTCATGTTGTTAGAACCCAAGTGTCCTCCCCCGCTGCTCAGCACCCCAGGGCGATGGGACACATCCCCCTGCTGAAGCTCATGGGGTCTCTACCAACCCCTGCAGAGATTTGGGGTGTCCCCACCCCCTCAGTGAGCACCAGCCCCATGGTCCCTCTGAGGCCACCCCAGCCTGGCCTCTCTCCATCCCCTGGGTCCCTTGGCCAGGCCCAGTGCCAGGTTTAAACAATTATTTTATCCTGGCTCTTTTTTTCCCCTGTTTTCACAGGACAGCATGGGCCTCCCACTCCCCAATTAGCAACTTGTCATTGACAAGCTCATCAAAAGGCTGCTAAAAATACCCAAACTGAGACTTGACACAAACTAGGGCAATAATCAGGTCTCTGCCCTTGTTTTTAAATTATCCCAGCAGTCCCTTGTGTGTCCATGGTGGTGGGGACCTGCTCCCAAAAGCCCCATGGAGCCAGTGCTGTTTGGCTGACTCCACCCCACACCTGCTGGGGGACACCTCGAAGAGAAAAGGGAAGTGGGGAAGAGGCAGGGATATTTTGGGACACGGGCCTGGCTGGTGGCCATACCCCCCCAAACTGCCTGTGGGGGGATGGGGAAGGCACAGAAGTTGACTGAGGATGAGGAGGAGGGGCTGGAACAGCTCCAGGACCTCTCTTGGTGATGTGCTACCACCACTGTGGAGGTAGGGACAGGAGCAGGGGCTGCTCCCCACCATGGGCAGGGGGTAAAGGCAGCGCTGCCTCAGCAGAAGGGGGACAGGGATGGCCACTGATGGGATTTGGACACGCCTTGGGGTACCTACCATGAGGTGCCAGCAGGACTTCGGTACCAAAACAGCCTCTGCAACGTGCACTTGTCCCCAGGAGCAGGAACACAGCCCAGGCTCAGCTGTCCATGCACCAAGGACGCAGCCTTTCCCCCTTGGCTCCAGCCTCCCACACAGGACCAGTCCCAAGGACAAGCTCCTCCTGTGCCACCAAGCCAGGGCCACGTGGATGAACATTTGTCCCTCCAAAGTGGCCATCTGGGAGAAGGTGTCCTTCATCCCAGCAGAGCAGCAGGGAGCTGCAGCCTGGCCCAGTTCTGGCTGGTTTGACCTCTAAGCTCAGCCGGCGGCTGGGCTGGTGCTGCTTCTGTGACAGTAAAGAAGGAGGACCCTCTGTGGGGCCACCAGGAGGGACACAGCTGTCACAGAGCTGTCACACAGGCAGGTACACCTCTGGGGACAGGAAAGCTCAAGCAGTGTGACCAGGGCTCTCCTTGTCGGTTTATCCCTGGGGGATATCCCTCATGGCAAGTATTTGGACAGCAAGGGCAGCTCCTGTACTCCTCACTTCCCACCCGCCTGGCAATTGGGTGACACTTGGGCAGGGGGGACACCCCCATCCACCAGAGCCCACTTTATATCTGGACCCTCAGGCACCACACCAGGTGTTCCAAGGTGGATTTCTGGTGCAGGGAACAGGATTTCCAGCCTTCTCCTGAGATGTGGGGCAGCACCACAGGCAGTTGCTCCAGCCCGGATGAGGTCCCTGCAGCTCAGTGCCACAAGGCTCCAGGTTCATCTCTGCACCAGCAAAGTTACGATATGGAGGCAAAAATCATATTTTTGTACCAAAAATCGTGTTTATTTCTCCATCTTTTGTACACACAAGCTCTCAAACAGCGCTCCAGGAGCACCCCTTTCCCACAGCTGCAAAGCCGTGAAAAAAGGCTTTAGATGAAAGGACCTGGTACAAGAAAATACAGAGCTCCCAGACAAGGCTCCAGGCTGGCCCAGATGCAGCTCACGTATCCCAGTTTCTCCCTCAATTTGCAGATTTCCGGACATTTGGTAGCTCAGAGCAGCCTTGGACATTTGGCAGCTCCTGCCTGCCCTGATCAGCCTGGCAGAGCCCACCAGCACCCAAAAATGAGGGTGGCACAGCCCCACGAGGAGCCCTCTGATGCCCCAGGCACCGGGAAGGCAGAGAGACTGATGCTTTAATTATCCTACCTGCCCTTTCTGACTCCCTCATTCTTTCCCAGGGGGGTGGGAAGGGGTCAAGCTTCGTGTCTAGTGCTCCTTCCCACACCCGCTGCAGCAACAGAACCACAGCTCACCCGGGCTGGAGGGTGGGCAGTCCCTGGACTGTGAGGCTGAAACAGCAACACTTCTCCCCTGTCAGAGCAACATTTCTCCCCCTTTTCTCTGTCCAGCACGAAGCTCCTGTGCACAGGCAGCACCCACCTCATCCCCAGGGCTCGTCTGCTGTTGTTCTCCACGGTTCACGCACCGCTGGGTTTGCACAGCCCAGCACCTGGGATGGAGCGGGATAACAGCCACGAGGTGCCTTTGGAGCAGGGAGCAGGCACCGTGCCCAGCACAAAGAGCCTCACCGGGTGCAACCGCTGCCGGGGGGGGGGGACTGGTGGCCGTGCCACGTGCTGGGAGGGGCTGCCGGGCTCTCCTCAGCTCACTCGGCTTTTTGTTAGTGCTTTCAGCCCCGTGGTGTGATAACAAACCCCGGGAACACCCAAAATGCTGTGAGAAATGGAATTATTATTACTATTGAACAAGTATTGTTATTGAATGTAAAGGCTCTGAGCAACCTGGTTTAGTGGAAGGTGCCCCTGCCCATGGCAGAGGGTTGGGAAGAGGTGGTTTTTAAGGTCCTTTCCCACCCAAACCATTCTGGAATTCTGTGATAAGTGCATTAAAACTAAAAGCTGCAAAGTGGGACTCCAGGAGGGAGCAGTGCTCCCAGTAGTGCCCTGGCACACACAGGTTCCCATAGGGAAGAGCCCTGTGCTGGGTGACCCCAGCAATGCCCCCCAGACCCTGTTGCTGGCTCAGCCCTCCCTGGGTGGCTCTCCCAGATTGGAAGGTGCCAACCTGCCTTCTCTCCCAGAGCATTCCCAGCCACCCTATTTCCTTCTCCCTTTTCCTGACACCCCAGCTCTTACCTGGGCTGGGATCAGCCTGTCTCCTCCCTCAGGGATGTGTGACAGCCAGGCTGTATGCCAGTCCCAGATGATGCTGGGCTCTTACGGATCACTCTATTACTTCAGTGTTATAAATATGTTAAATTAGAACAAGAAAACAATTCAGCACTTGGAAGATACAAGCTGGGGCAGAGCTGTTCCCACTGCAAACTCCACCAGGATCCAGCACCCTGCAAGACCAGACCTGGGGTCCCTGACTGTCACCCCAGCACTGAGCTATGTGTAGGGGGGGCTGTGGCTTTATTCTGTCCCTGCCTTTCTGCCCAATCTGCTGCACCAGGAGAACCACAGACGATGTTCCTGCCCCTGGCTGAAGCCTTTGACCCTTCAGCAGTCTACAGGGATGGACCAAAGATGGGTCAGGAGAGCTAAAATGATGCAAAAACTGCCACTAGCAGTCCCAGGAGGAAGAAGGAAGATAAATTATCCTCCACATCATGCACAGATCCCAGAGTGAAACTGTATTTTACTTACTGAAATCTCTCACAGGTCGAGCAGCGTTCTGCCTTTGTCCAGGAGAAATGTCCAGCTTGAGCAGCTGATGGTCTCCGTTGTCTCCACAGGGATGCTCCTCCATCTCTTGTCACCTTGCTGGCTTTGCTGGTCTTGCTTGGTTCTGAAAACAAGGGGATGTTGAGAACAGGGGGAGAAGCTCCTCCAGGCCAGCTCTGGCACAGACCACCTTCCTCAGGGGCCGCAGCCAACTGGGCTGGAGGAGCCACAGGAGCTCAGGACACTGGGGGAGGGGGGTTGAGGCATTCTCACCACGGGATCAAGGCTGCAAAATGCATCCCATTAAGGGATCAGGCATCCACCTGCTTTCACCCCAACCCAAGAGAAAAGGTGTGGTTCTGACAGTAGCACCTGATGGGCAACACCGTGACCCAAATGGGGCTCCAGAGCTCAGGAGGTTGTGCCTCCCACGCCTCCCCTGTGCATCCCACGGGAGAGGACAGGCAGTGTGATGGAGGATGCTGCCCCCAGGCTCTCACAGGGCTGTGCTGGCAGAGATTACAGCCCTCAACCCCCCGCCCTCGAGCCCCCCCATTCTCCACACTTCGGCCTTATCCATTTAAGCCTCCCGGTGCTGGTGTCCCAGGAACGGGACACGGACAGTGTCTACCCTTAAGAAGCCTTCGCGGCTTAAAGCCTGAGCTCATCCAGCTCATGACGCCGCGCTCCAGGCGCTAACCCCGAACCAGAGCAGCCGCCGGGCGACAACCGGCACCGGGACACCCGGGGGACAGGGCACGGGGTGAGCGCGGTGGCTGAGCCCTGGCACGGCCACGGGGCCACCACCGGCACGGCCCCGCTCCTGCCTGCAGTGCCTCGGAAGATGTATTTTTAAGGCTGGGAGGAGATGGCAGAAGGGAGGGGAGCGGCTCAGGAATATGAAGCAGCATCCCAGTTACTGCCCAGGCGCTGCAGGAGTGAGGGATTAACTCTTTCAGGGCTGAAAACCTTCCGTGCTGTCATTCCCAGCTCCTGAAATACCAAAGGCAGGCACACGAAATTGTGCAGAGACAAGGTACAGGATTTAAAAGTTTTTGGAGATTCTGCTAAATAACAACAATCACAAACCCAGCACCCCTCTCTTACCCTCCACCCCTGAAACTCCCCCTCACCCCTCCTTGGTGCATCTGTCTCTCCCTGTCCCGCTCCCAGCTGCAGCCCCACGTGGAATTGTGGCACAGTGGGCAGGAGACGTCACTTATGGGTCTGTCCTCTCCCCCAAAAACCAGCAAAGCAAGAGAAACGTGGGCTGTGCAGAGGGAATGGCTCAGACAGCGCTTGTTCCCTGTGCACGGCGGGTCTGACACACACAGGTCGCACACACAGCCAGGCTGGGAAGGGACCGACAGCCTCCAAACCTGGACACCCACCATCTCCCCTCCCCTTCCAGGTCTGCTGGCAAGATGTCCCTTGCTCAGGGTGGGCATTTTTTCGGAGCTGGACCCCAGTGTGTGGGCCCTTCGTGGGTGCTGCTGCTGTGTCACAGCCCCTCGGGGGTCTGGCACCGAGCAGGGATGAAGCATTTGGTGTGCGCAGACAACACAGGGAGCATTCAGAGCTGCCAGGCTTTGTGCACGGATCCCCTCGGGGCTGCAGCAGGAAGGAGGGGGGTGGGGGTGTCCCCCCAGCTGCCAGCTGGGCTGTAGCAAAGCTAGACAGGGCTGAAAGGAAGCGGGAGCCTCTACTCAATGCACTTCTTGTCCTACTCCCTCTGCAAACCCTCCTCTGATTCAGCAGCCCCGTCTCCCCTCAGGGCCTGCTCTGCACCCAGGCTCTCCCACACTCTCTATGCCTCTCCTGAGCCCCAGACTGCAGCAGCAGCTTCTTGCTCCTCTGGGCAGACTCATCTTCCTCCCACAGCCCGTCTCTCCCCCCAGCCAAGTCCCTTCCCAGCACAGCATGAACCCGGCAGACTGCTCCCTCCCTCCCTCCCTCCCTTCCCCTCCGCTCCTTGCAGCTCCTAATTGCTCCCTCACGCCCCCACCGACACTCTCTCATCTTTCTCACCAGTGAATTTTCTCACATCCTCCCACCTTTTTATTCCATGAATGTATTCCGTGGCTTTTTTTAACCTGGGTAAACCATAAGCATCCGCAACATCCTGTGAAGGGGAGGGCTGTGAAATGACAGCTTGGCATTTAAGGCTGCCCCTCCCAGCTCCATTCAAGCTCTTACTTACAATGGGGGAAAACATCTCTAGTTTATCATTTCATGTGTCTCCTCCACATCCCTTTCCTGAATTAAGCTTGCAGCTGATTTAGCTCACGAGGTCCCTCCTCAGGCAGGGGAACCAGAGCTGCAGGCAGCACAATGTGTTTCAAACAAAAAGAAAGCCACTGCTGTGGTTGCTTTTTTTCTCCTCTTCTTCCTTTCCCAGGGATTTCTAGATCTCGGAGGAAATATGGGGTTTTAACTGCTGCAGAGCAATTGGCTGACATTGCCCTGACACCCCACACACCCCATGTTCTGCTCCAAGTGGAAATGCTCAGCTTGGAGCATCCCTGTGTTCACAGAGTTAAAAGGGAAAAGCACAGAGGGCAGAACAATCCCTTCGAGATCATAAAATCACAGAATGGTTCGGGTTGGAAGGGACCTTAAAAACCTTCCAGTTCTACCCCCTGCCATGGGCAGGGACACCTTCCACTAGCCCAGGTTGCTCCAAGCCCCGTCCAACCTGGCCTTGGACACTTCCAAGGCTGGGGCAGCCACAGCTTCTCTGGGCACCCTGTGCCAGGGCCTCCCCACCCTCCCAGGGAACAATTCCTTCCCAATATCCCATCTAACCTTGCCCTCTGGCAGTGTGGAGCCATTCCCCTTGTCCTGTCCCTCCAAGTCCCTCTCCAGCTCTCCTCAAGTCCCTTTAGGCCCTGGAAGGGGCTCTCAGGTCTCCCTGGGATCTTCTCCAAGTGCACACTCCCAGCTCTCCCAGCCTGGCTCCAGAGCAGAGGGGCTCCAGCCCTCAGAGCGTCTTTGTGGCCCTATAAGCCACCAAGCATCCAGGTGAGGACCCTCTGCATCCCATCACAGTCAGTCTTTTTTTTTTTTTTCTACTGAAATATTGTCAGAAATATTCCTACTATTCTCAGCCTTCCTGTTGTGTTTTGTTTCCTGCCTTTTAGCAAGTTAAATACCGGGTTGCAGCCACGTAGGAACCTCCTTCTCCTCCCACGGGAGCTCAGCTTCTTCAGGAGATTGCAAGAGACCCCTCTGGAAATCCAGGTGGGCTTTATCAATATGCCAGCTGCAGCAGGAGGACAGGAAAACACTGAAATTACCGACCATTAATAGCATTTTGGGCAAAGAGTATTTATGGCTTGGCCAAGGGATTGTTGGGCTGGAACCCCTGGCCCAAAGATGCTATTTTTGGTCATCCCCAGCAGATCTGCTTTGAGATGTCAGTGGCTTTGTACAGGACTGACAAAATATTTCGGGAAGATTTGGAAATTGCTGCCTTCTACCCACAGTACATGGATTTTTGTCCCAGCATGATTTTGCCCACTGGCAAAGATGCAAGCTGGCTCCATCTCTAACCCGGGCTAGAGATGAGCATCATCATCTCCTCTCCCACATCCAGGGAACAGTCTGAGCACTGGGACAAGGGGGGATGTGTCTGCTCTGTGCACCAGAAAGCAGAGTCCCCCCTCCAGCCCAGCCCTGGCTCTCTCCTGTGCCTCCTGGGCCAGTGGTGATGGATTTGTGATTGATTTCCTGCCTTCACTTCCCCGTGTGCCGGGGAGCAAATGGCAAAGCTGTGACATCGAGGTGACACAAAAGGACACTGGTTGAGTCACTCCAACCACAAACCAGTTCTGAATGATCCGGCTGAAGCTCTGAGGGTGGGACAAGAGCTGAGCCGGACCGGGGGAGGACACTGAGCTATTGTGCGAGTGCCCTGCCGTGGTCCCTCAATGGGCTGCTCAGCATTCCCCTTTCCCTGACCTCATTTCCCGACAACGGCTCCTTTAAGGAGAAGCCCGGCGGCTTTTCCCGTTCCTTCACAGTCTAGGGATGGAGCCGCTCGTGGCTGAATAGACACAGCTGCCTGGGCAGGATGGGAATCAGAGATCAGAGCTGACAGGGCTCACACGCTGAGCTCCCGACTTCCTCGGGAGCCGTGACAGGGGATGGAGAAACGTCCTGACAACTGGGGATGGAGGAAGACAATACATCCCACCGGGAGAGCTCCTGGGGACCACAGAACATCAGACAGGAGGTTCATGGGGAGGAGGACTCAGGGAAGAACTGGGTCCAGCATGATACTCTGCAAACACATGCAGCAAACTACTACGGGTTTGGGACCTGGTGTGGGTTAACCTCAGGGGCAGCTCTGCCCCACACAGCCCCTCAGTCCTCACAGAGGGATGGGGCAGAACTGGAAGGGGGAGAGTTGAGATAAAGGTGGTTTAATAGGTGAAGCAACAGCTGAGCATGCAAACAAAGCAAACAAGGAATTCATTTATCACTTCCCCTCGGCAGGCAGGTGTTTAGTCATGGAGCAGCTGGTGGTGTTTAGCTGCTCACCAGGATTCAACCATGACAGGACCACAGTGCACTACACTGAAATCACCTTCTGAATGGAGCAAAAAAGGGGAAAACCCAAAGGGCAGGGGAAGGAAATCCCACATGGGCAGAGTGCCTGGTACCCCCTGCCCTAACTCCTACCTCCATGAGCAAGGTGTAAGTGGAGCCCTCGTGGCCCTTGCACCCTGTAGGCAGTGACTCAGGGCCCCTTGTTTTTGCAGGTGTGGAAGGGGAAATCTTCCTCCTCCTCCGAGGGAATTCGGGTCTGGGATGGCTGTGACGGCAGTGAGTGTCCCCCCAGGGTTTGGATTACAGCAGGAGAGCTTCCCGTGGTCAGAGCACACAGTGCTCCTCTGGGAAAGGGCTGGAGGGTGAAACCAAGTCGGGAGATGTCAGTGGGTCACAGGGCACGCTGTCACTAACAGAGGAGGAGCAGGAGCAGGGTCACACATACAGGGTTTGGGCTGCTGCTCACGGACACCGAGCCTGACACTGGAGGGGACACGGGCACCCTGCACGTCACAGCACCAAGACATGTCTGCCACACAGAGCCCAAGCTGGTGAGGGTCTGAGGGGGCAGCA